GTTGCCCAGGGAGGTGGTTGAGGCCCCTTCCCTGGAGATATTCAAGGGGAGGCTCGATGGGGCAACCTGGTCTAGTTGGGGGTGTCCCTGCTGACTGCGGGGGGTGGGACTAGATGGCCTTTGGAGGTCCCTTCCAGCCTGGGCAATTCTATGATTCTGTGATAAGGGCTCACGCTCATCCCCTGTCACCTCCCAGGGCTGACGACAGAGCAGATGCTGAGGAAGGACCTCAAAGTCCTCTCCAACGAGGAGCTGGCCCTCGCCATCAGCGCCATTTACGTGGACCTGGAGGTGAGGCTGGGGGGAAACTGAGGCAGAGGGGGTGGCACGATGGGGACAGCAAGGTGACACCGGGGGTCTTTTCCTCCACCATCCCCTTCCAGACCTTCCTGCGCCAGCCCGCCTTGCTGCAGGACCTGGATGCTTTCTGCCGGGCTCGTGGCTACGCGGGGCTGGTGGCCATGACCATCTCCTTTAACGAGGGCAACGAGCCCTCCCGGCAGCTCGCCGTCTACAGCCGGCACGAGCCCCTCCGCAGCGCGGTGAGTGGGGGGTCCGGGCACCCCAAACCCTCAACACAGAGATTTCGGGGGGCAACCAGGCATCCTACCCCCAAACCCCCCCCCTTCCCTGGAGATATTCAAGGGGAGGCTCGATGGGGCAACCTGGTCTAGTTGGGGGTGTCCCTGCTGACTGCGGGGGGTGGGACTAGATGGCCTTTGGAGGTCCCTTCCAGCCTGGGCAATTCTATGATTCTGTGATAAGGGCTCACGCTCATCCCCTGTCACCTCCCAGGGCTGACGACGGAGCAGATGCTGAGGAAGGACCTCAAAGTCCTCTCCAACGAGGAGCTGGCCCTCGCCATCAGCGCCATTTACGTGGACCTGGAGGTGAGGCTGGGGGGAAACTGAGGCAGAGGGGGTGGCACGATGGGGACAGCAAGGTGACACCGGGGGTCTTTTCCTCCACCACCCCCTTCCAGACCTTCCTGCGCCGGCCCGGTTTGCTGCAGGACCTGGATGCTTTCTGCCAGGCGCGGGGCTACGCGGGGCTGGTGGCCATGACCATCTCCTTTAACGAGGGCAACGAGCCCTCCCGGCAGCTCGCCGTCTACAGCCGGCACGAGCCCCTCCGCAGCGCGGTGAGTGGGGGGTCCGGGCACCCCAAACCCTCAACACGGAGATTTCGGGGGGCAACCGGGCATCCTACCCCCCCCTCACCCTGATTTTGGGGGTGCTCCATCCCTTGCAGGTGTGTCGGGCGCTGGAGGAGGCGACGACGCCGTCCCTGCACCTCCAGCCCCTGCTGAGCCCCTGGTCCTGCCTGGGCACCTACACCCAGGGCAACGCTTTGGCATCACGCAAGAAGGTCCTGCCCATCCTCCGGGCAGCCCTGGGGGGGCAGGGGGCTGCCGGGGGGGCAGGGGAGGAGGAGGTGGTCCCCCCGCCCACCCCCATGAACAGCCTGGTGGAGGAATGCCCCCTGGCACAGG